AATACTCGAACCACCCAAGTAGAAAATGGTCAAATAGAAGAAACTAAAAGTAACACATAACATGTATTTGTTTACACAACAATAATGTCGTGCTGAACTAAAACAATGTTGTGGTGCCGTAAAACCATTCCACCTGACTATATATTTTTGTACATCATGACTTTTCAACAGTAATTAATAAAGTAAAACACTTTGTTTATGTTATTTTGGATGCCAACTAATATAAATGGATACGGAGTTTATTGTTTATTAAATTTTATCGATTTATTGTTTTTCAAAACCTATTATTCACAAGTCAAATTGATAAAGGTATGGCTAAAATGAATTATATGTTAATTTGTATGCCATGATTAATAGAATGTATATTTAATTGTTATACTAAATGTTTACATTATTCCCCACTGAATCATTTATTGTGATATCTACGACAATATAACCCCTTTTTTCTTTTTTTAAAAACCCCGGTATTTTAGAATTGTTGTTGGTGGGGGCCTTTAAAAAAACCAAAAAAAACCAAAATAACTATGGGGCCTTAAAAATTTTCTTTTTAAATTTTGATTTTTTGATTTAAATTTTGTTTGTTGCCCCCTTTTCCTTTTTAAGCAATAACAGTCAGTGAAAGTTACTTCCCTTCCCGGATTGAGGGTAAAGGGGGGATAAAACTTTTGCTTTCCCGATAAAAAATTTAAAGCTTTTTTGAAAATTTTAAATGCATAAAAAACTATCGTTCTTATGATTATAACTGAAAAAAATTTTAGATGCATACATAAATTCAATATAAAAAATAAAAAAAAATAAAAAAGGAAAAGATTGAGTTTTAAATTTTCCCCGCTACCCCCAGATTTAAAAATCTTGTCGAAACGGAGTGAAAAAAGAATTTTTAAAAGGTGAAAAAATTTTTTATTAGATCTAAAATTTTTAAATTCCAGGAAAAAAAGCTAGAATTAAATAAAATTTTAAATTTTACAACCCTATCCCCAAAACCCTTTTAAAAATTTAAAATTTGGGCATTTTCTAGTTTTTGTGTTATTTTCTGTCTTTTAGAAAATTCTGGCGTATTTGTGAAAAACCCTGAAAAACACGGATTTTTTAAAAATTTTAAAAAGGGAATTAAAAATTTGGGTGAAAAATTAAGTTTGGGCCTTTTCTTTTAATGTTTGGGTTTTTAAAAGCTTTATAGAAAAATCATAATGAAATTAAATTGTAAATTATTTACTGATTTTTTTTGCATTAGGGGCCGTTTTTAAAAATATTTAAAAAGTAAAGTAAAGGATAAAATTTTTATAAATTTTCCCGGAAAGAAAAAAACATGGGGGAATTGATTTTAATAAATTTTAGATTCGCCAGACGATAATAAGATAATTTGATATTGAAAATCTATTTTTTAAAGACCGTTTTTCCCAGCAACTTATTTCATAGAAAAATAGATGTGTACATATAAGCGCCCACTGGGCCGTAACTTATTAATTTAAAAGGGTACATATGTCGTATATACAAAGCGGGCACTTGGCTGTGATATCATAAATCACCAGGGATTGCATTTTTTTAGAGTATAACATTACATCAGATTACGTCACTTTTGTTAGTTGTCAAAATATTTATGGTCCGAATTTTGTTATGGATTATTCCTAGGGACCTTTATTGGTTCACGCCTTTAACTGATTGATACTCGATCCAGAGTCCTACCAACTGGCCACAGTCAAAATACGTAAAATTATAATTCAGTTAATAACAAACTTGTTTTTCTTGTTTTTTTGTTGTTGTTTTTTTGTGCTTTTTAAATATTTTGAAAAGCAGAGTATGAATTAAAAAAGTATCAAGTTTGAAAATATTACTTTACCAGTTTTAAAATTTTAATTTATTGGTGTGTTTGGTACGATTTTTTTTTTTTAAAGTGCATTTTTCCCGCTAAATAGTTAAGCCCTGTACTTTTAAAAAAAGAATTTTTTTTTTTTAGGGCCTTTAAAATTTTTTTTAAAATTACATAATTTTTTTTGTTTTCTTTTTTTTTGTTTAGAAATTTTGCTTAAATAAAAAATTAAATTTTAAAAAACCAGTATTTTGAAATTTAAAATTATTCCCGCACCCGTTTTTCAAACTCCCAGAACCCTTACTTTTTTTGAAATAAAAAATATTTTTTGGGTTTTTTATATTAGCAGAGGCCTAGTTTACATTTTTTTTATTTTCCCCTGGTTTAGAAATTTTAGAAAGATTTAATGCTGGAATTGAATTAGTACTTTAACTGCCTGGAAAATTTTATTTTTAAAAATCAAACAAAAAGGGTTAATCATGATATTTTCCCCAGGAATATGGTCACTATTAAAAAAATTTCTTTAAAACCTTTTTTTATTGGGAAACATATTTTTTTCATTTCCCCCATTTTTTTTGAAAATATCTTTTTTAAATTAAAAAAAAATTTTTGGGGCAATTTTAATTTGCTAATTTAAAAAAAAAAGGGTTTTTAAGATCTTTAATCCTTATTATTATATTAATCGTATGGGCATTTTTTTGCCGTCCCCCCAATGAGTTTTCCAAGGGGGCGACAACTTGAATACGGTTTTTTTAAATGAAAGGGTCTTTTATTGTATTGTGCTGTCACTATGTAAAAATTTTAAGACTTTTTTTATGTTTTTAAACCCTTTTTAAAAATTATTTACATTATAAAAGCTAACTGATTGCACTATTTTTCTATAGAACAAAATTAAAATAGATTTGTTCAATTTTTAAATTTTTATTATTTTTTAAATATTTATTTTGTTTGATTTTTTTTAAAAGGGGGGAAAAAAATAAAGGGGTTTTTATTATTAAAAAAGGGTATTTTAAAATTAGATTAGATTAATAATTTTAAAAAAATAAATTTTTTTTATCTATTTTCAATTATGTGGGAAACAAAAATTTAAATTTAATAAAAAACAGCCTGGTATGGGGTTTTTTTTTGAAAGTTTTTGGGCCCCGTTCCCCAGCTAGGTCAACCCCCCCTAAAAACCCGTTTTTAAAAAATTTTTCTTTTTGAAAATTTAAAAAATTATTATTTAATATATGGTTGTTTTTTTTGTTATATTTTTTGAAAAGGGAAAACCGGGAGTAAATCAGCTCCCCCCAGGAAAGTAGGATCCCTAGAAACCCCCCTTTTTTAAAAAACCCCGGGGAAAGGGGTTTTTTGGGCAGTCCCCCCCCCCCAATGGAATGCCCTTTAAGGACAGATAATTTCTAAACCCCCCGGTTTTACCAAAAATTTCTTTTCTATTTTTTTTTTGGGTAAATTATTATTTCATATTTCCTGTAGGTTTTAATTACATAAAAAGAGGGAAAATTTTACAAAATGCCCAAAAAGTTTTAATTATTTAACCCAAATATATCCTTAAAAATTTTTATTTGTTATATTTATTTACATTTACAGAAAGCGAAAAATAAAAGATATAATCTATTTTGTTTTTTTAAAAAGGGAAATGAAGATAACTCTTGTTTTTGGGAATTTTTTTAAATTTGGCTGTTAAAAATCTATCCAAACGGGGTTTTTTTTCCTTTTTTTAGGGGTTTTTTTCCCTGTTAAAACTAAAAAAAGGATTTTAATGTGATTTAATATTTTTAATTAAAAAAAAAACAAGGATGATTTCTTTAAAGTTTTCCCCCCGTGGACTTTATTTTTCCAATTTATTTCTCTTTGGACAAAAAGAAGGGCCGGGGGAAAAAAATTTTTTCCCAAATTTTTGGGTTACGCGGGGTTAAACACTGAGCCCTAAAAATTTGATTTCTTTTTGGGAAGCCCGGTGTAAATTTTCCCGGGGTGAAATTTTTTCAGTTTTTCAGAAATTTCAGAGCTTAGACCCCCTTGCAATTATGGGTTTATTCCGTGACAATCCCCAAAGTGATGATGGGGTGCAAAATTTTGTGTTGAAAAAGTGGGGGAACAACAACCAAATGAATTTAACAGGATTGTGTGTCACATTTTAAACTTCACTCAAAATGCCGTCAAGAAGTGACCTTTTCCCAAAGGTTGAAGATTTGGCTACAAGAAAAATTTCCCCCAATTCCCAAAATGGGTAAAAAAAAAAAATACCCCCAAATTTCCCGCAAAATTTCAAAAAACATATTATTTTATAATTTTGTTAGGCATTCAACACCCGTGGTTTCCAAAAACGTGGGGTCGCCCAAATACTTACACCCATTCCCACGCTTGGGGCCCCATTCTTAGTCATGATGGCGCAAAAAACCGGGGTCCCGGGTTTTTCTTTGTATTAAAAACCTGCGGCCCCAATTTTCCCGTTCCGCCTTTAAACCCTTTGTACCCCCTAAATTTATTCAACACTACTTTCCGGGTTAAATTTATTGGGGCTTTTAAATTTTCCGTTGAAAAAGGGGTTTTGAAAATATTTTTCCATTTTTTTTCAAAATTGTAAATTAAATACATCTTAAAAAAAGGGAATAAAAAAACAAATAAAAATTAAATTAAAATTTTTAAATTTTGTTTTTTTCAAAAAAGGGTTAAACCTAGGGTGGGATATGCATTTAGACCCAATGCTTTTTTTTCCGAACTTTTTAGGGCAATTTTTGAAGATGGAAAAATCACTGCTGTTGCTTTTTTTCAAATGGAAGTTTTAAGAGGGCCACCAAACCAAAATGACAAAGGAGTTTTTTCTGTGGGAAAAAAGCGCGTTTTAACCTTAAAATTTTTAAAATTTGACGCACCCCAGTTTAAAACAAAATTTCCCCTTTGGGGTTAATAAAAAAAATTCCCGTAACAGAAAAAAAGGGGCAAATTAAAACACTTTTCTTTTAAAAATTTTGTATTTAAGCAATCTCGCTAAATTTTGAAAGTTGTCTTTGAAATGTACACATTTTACTAAAATATTTTATATAAAAACAAATCGCCCGCTAAAATTTAAATATTTCTTTTTAAAAACATGTAAAACATTTTACTGAATATTGTATAAAACAAATCGTCGCTAACAATTGATAAAATATGGCAAATAAATTTTATCTGTAAAGAAAGATTTTTTACTTTAATACTCTATATCATAACATTTCAAATATGTTTATTTCATCTTTTGCAGCAAAGTTCGCGCATTTTATGTTGAGATAACCGAGAAAATTATTGCGAAATTCCCACTTAATGATCCAGTCCTCAATGATCAAGTCCTCAAGTGTCTTTCCTTCCTACGTCCAGAATTCAGGGAGACAACGCCCGCTTCATCTGGTGAGTAAATAACTTGAAATAAAGTAGACACAAGATATTGTTCTATGTATTTGAATAAACACTTGAAGCATTAAATCCGATAGAAATGAATGAAGCAACAAAAAAATAAAATAAGTAAGGGTCTAATACTGATTTTTTTCATAACAATCTTTGTCCGTGATTTATGTGTAAAATAACCTAATAAATGATATAATACGTAAAATCTTATACTTGCAGTTGCCAAGCTCGCCTTGGTATGGGTAACACAGATAGTGTGGAGGAGGAATAAATGGACTACCAACTCATGGCGATCGGGTCTCTTCCTGCGTATGAAGAGGGGATGCCACTGGACCCATATTGGGTAGCATTAGAGAAACATAAAACTCCACTCCAAAAACCAAGGTTTCCCACCCTTGTTCCGTTAATCCAGAGGGACGACAGAGAAAATCTTGCCATAAATACAATTCAGCGGTCATTACTGTCATTAAAAATGAATATGAACACTGTTTGTTTTAAGCATAATATCACATCTGGTATGTGTGCTGAAGCCCTAAAAGTCTGCAATTGTTAAGAACACGAACTCTATGTGCTGTCATACTTGACCTTGACGCTGGTAAACATTACTCAAGTCATTTAAATGTTTGAGTATCATGTGATATAGAATAGATGAGTATAGCTTGTATTCTTTGTAACTGTGCTAAATTATTTTATTATATTGATGTCTGATTAAACGTAAATAAATTACCTTGCTGTGTTTGTTTTGATGACTGGAAAAATTGCGTTACGTGACATGTATTTATTATCACGACTTTAAGGTATAACGGGTGAACAAACATGGTTGCGCCCATTCACCGGGTTTATAACTTACAACTAACTTGCTTTTAGGGAATAATAAATGAAATAATGAAATACTATAAAATGATAAAAATGTCGATCTGAAAGACTACTTCTAAAACTAGTCAGTTAACTGTTTATCATTAGAATTCAGGAGAAAGTCGTCCTTATTTAATAACGTGATACGATTGACACCCCCCTTTCCACAACTGCCTCCTCATCCGACATTGACACGATGAAAAGTGTCCCGGAAAGCCATCCAAAAACTATGGCATGTATGGGACACGGGCACATTAAAAGATTGTTTCTCAGATTTTGTCAGTTAAATTGCACTCTAGGATGAATATCTCTAGAGCCTCATATACATGATTGTAGTGTTTTTTGGGAGGATTTAAAATATTGTCTATACACTGGCCTACGGATCCAATCCGGCCAATCAGTCCCTGCCGCTCGGCTGCAAATTGAGTACATTCGATCAGTAGGTGGTCAGAACCATATCTCATTCCACGCCGAGGGCAGGTTGGGTCAATTTTTTCTTAATGTACTGACCCACAATGCCCGGTAATAAGTTTGTGCCCAGCCTTAGCCGGCTAATAGTTTTATAAATTTTGGAGTTATTGGAATATTTTATTGGGCGTTTAAGGCCTACTTAAGTATTTATGTGTTTAATTTTGGGCGCATTGTCATTTATTTGTTTCTGCCATTTTGCTAATATATGTTCACGTATTATAGAATACACTTCAGTTGGGGAGAGTGGTAGTTTGTTACACTGCTGCGGTTTAGGCCTGTCTTGGCTGCCATGTCCGCCTGTTCCTTACCATAGATACATATATGTGCAGGACACCAAACAATGATTATCAATTTGCCTACATTAAGGCATTTATTATATGTAATATTGATTTCCTGTATAATTCTGATCTTGACTGACCACTGTTTTCAGTGAGACCAGTGGAGATAGAGAATCAGAGAAAATGACAACTTTATTGTGATTATTGTCATTTATCCAGCACAAAGCGTTCCTAATTGCAAGAATCTTGGCCATATAGATGGATGTTTGATTTGTTAACCTATCTATTTTTTCATATTGTTGAGAGGGGATTATTACGGCTGAAGCGGTACGTTTTGGCGGATGTACATAGGTCCTATATACTATTTTAGTGCCTTAGCTCGCGCTGCTCACAATGATGGGGGCACCCCCGCAAAGGTCAATTTTACCGCTCCAGAATCTTGTCTGCGCTTATTCTGGAGTTGGTGGACCCTCATATCAGATCTGTCACATTCCAACTTTTGTTGGAATTCCGACAGATCTTCCTCCAGCGGAATGCCGTGGATGACTTCTTCATATAGGCGTTCCTGAGGTTGGCGTTTTACTATGCACTGCACCCCAAAGCTTAAACCTGGGTAGATGGAGTGCTTTATTAAGTGACTCGATAGACGCGAAGTCTAAGAGAATATTACCTGACGCCTAAGTTTAAGGGAATTTGAAAATCATTGTGATGACACGGAGGAAGTTACATTCGAGGAATTAGACATGCCAATTACGGAGAATGAATTGCGTAAAGTTGTTAACTCTTTTTTTAAAAAAAACAAAGCTGCTGGGTTAGACAATATGATAAATAAATATTTTAAACAGTGTATTGACATCCTTTCCGAACCGTTGTTATAACATTCAACAACATTTTTGACGCAGGTGAATTCCCGAGTCAGTGGTCAGAGAGATTAATAATACCATATAACATTGCTAACAATTATAGTGGAATCAACGCTACTAAAATCTGGAAACAAAATTGCCTTGGTTAAATATTTACAAGAATAATAAATGAGAGAATGAAAGTATGGACCAAAAATTATGACAAGCTCTTTGATGCATAGTTTGGGTTCAAGTCGGGTCACATTACTACCGACGCTGTTTTCGTTTTATCTACTATCATACTTCACAAAATAAAAAAGGTGTATGCTGCTTTTGTTGACTATCAGAAATGCTTTGACACTATATATAGAAACGGTCTCTGGTACAAGGTGATAAAGGAAGGTTTTGATGGAAAATTGCTTTAATTAATACGGTCCATGTATAGTGACGTACGATCTTGTGTAAAACACCTAAATTCCCTATCAGACTTCTTTAAAATTGATAATGGACTATTCCAAGGGGACCTAACTTCGCCATTACTATTCTGCAATTTCGTGAATACCCTTGAAGTATGCCTACAGGACTACATACAGAATATAGATTAACTTTAGACCAGTTCTCTATATACTTTGTCATTTTCGCAGACGACAGCGTATTGCTTAGCGAAACCTCTGAGGCTCTTCAAACCAACCTTAACCAATTAGAGGCGTATTGTAAACAAGAGGGCCATGATGGCCCTGAAAACGCTCACCTGTATATAGGCCCCTGGAGCAGAGCCAGTTCAAACCCCAGGCCTTCTATTTGAACACACTTGGTAGACAACCATTAGAAGATGTTTCATGCTAAACATCTAAGGTCTAGCTCGTTGGGTTTTTCAAAAGAAGATTTTTAAAGTTTTTTCTTTAAACATATAGTTAAAAACAATGACACCCCTAGGGGAGGGCCAGTTTTGACCCCAGGGCGTTATTTGAACAATCTTTGTAGACACTTACTAGAAAATGTTTCGAAGAAGATTTTTAATTTTTTGCTATACACATAATTATAAGGAAAATAAACAACCCCCGGGGTGGGGCCAATTTTGACCCCAGGCTTTTATTTGAACAAACTTTGTAGACACTCACAAGAAGATGTTTTATGCTAAGTATCTAATCTCTAGCTATTTGGTTTTTTTTCAAAAAAGATTTTTTAAGTTTTTGCTATATACACACAAAAGGAAAATCAATGACCCCCGGGGCGGGGCTAATTTTGAACCCAGGGCTTTTATTTGAACAAACTTGGTAGACATCAATTAGAACATGTTTCATGCTAAATATCTTAGCTCTAGCTCTTTGGGTTCTTTAAGAGAAGGTTTTTAAGTTTTTACTATATGCATATAGGGAAAATCAATGACCCCCTGGGGCGGGGCCAATTTTGACCCCAGGGCTTTTATTTGAACAAAGTTGGTAGACATCCATAAGAACATGTTTCATGCTAAATATCTTAGCTCTAGATCTTTGGGTTCTTTAAAAGAAGATTTTTAAGTTTTTACCATATGCATATAGGGAAAATCAATGACCCTCTGGGGCGGGGCCAATTTTGACCCCAGGGCTTTTATTTGAACAAACTTGGTAGACACTCATTAGAAGATGTTTCATGCTAAATTTCTTAGCTCTAGCTCTTTGGGTTATTTAAAAGAAGATTTTTAAGTTTTTACTATATGCATATAGGAAAAATCGGAGACCCCCTGGGGCGGGGCCAATTTTGACCCCAGGGCTTTTATTTGAACAATCTTTGTAGACACTCACTAGAAAATGTTTCATGCTTAATATCTAAACTCTAGCTATTCGGGTTTTTTCAAAGAAGATTTTGAAGTCTTTGCTATACACATATAAAGAAAATCAATGTCCCTCAGAGCGGGGCCAATTTTGACCCCATGGCTTTTATTTGAACAAACTTTGTAGACACTCACTAGAAGATGCTTCATGTTTAATATCTAAACTCTAGCTATTTGAGTTTTTTCAAAGAAGATATTTTTAGTTTTTGCTATACACATAATTATAAGGAAAATAAATAACCCCCGGGGTGGGGCCAATTTTGACCCCAGGCTTTTATTTGAACAAACTTTGTAGACACCCACAAGAAAATGTTTCATGCTTAGTATCTAATCTCTAGCTATTTGGTTTTTTTTTCAAAGAAGATTTTTTAAGTTTTTGCTATATACACACAAAAGGAAAATCAATGACCCCCGGGGCGGGGCCCATTATGACCCCAGGGCTTTTATTTGAACAAACTTGGTAGACATCCATTAGAACATGTTTTATGCTAAATATCTTAGCTCTAGCTCTTTGGGTTCTTTAAAAGAAGATTTTTAAGTTTTTACTATATATGCATATAGGGAAAATCAATGACCCCCTGGGGCGGGGCCAATTTTGACCCAACGGCTTTTGTTTGATCAAACTTGGTAGACATCCATTAGAACATGTTTCATGCTAAATATCTTAGCTCTAGCTCTTTGGGTTCTTAAATAGATGATTTTTAAGTTTTTACTATATGCATATAGGGAAAATTAATGACCCCCTGGGGTGGGGCCAATTTTGACCCTAGGGCTTTTATTTGAACATAATTGGTAGACACTCACTAGAAGATATTTCCAGCCAAATATCTAACCTGTAGCCTTTACATATTACCATATACCAAAAATCAAAGCTCTGGCCCATGTACTTTCAGACAAGAAGATTTTTTAATTTTGTGTTTTTTGAAATCCTTTTCTGGCCCTATGACCTACAGACCAGAACCATTTGAACAACTTTGAAAGGGGACCACCCAAGGATCATTTCTGTAAAGTTTGGTTGATGTGCAGTCATTGGTTTCAGAGGAGATGTTGTTTATGTTCAAAAGTTGACGACGCACGACGACGGACACAGGGCCATCACAATAGCTCACCCTGAGCATTGGTTGACACAATCAACTTTGAAACATTTTATTTAAATTGTAATTCACGTTTAGTTAAAGAAATTCTGAGGAATTATTCTAAGTTACAAATTATATTTGATAAATTATTCAATTGATTGATAATTTTTCAAAAAAGCAATAAAGTGAAATGAATGGTTAAAGAAAAATCATGTAATATATTGAAAGATTTTTTTAAAAGCAAGGTCAGAATAGAAGTCTTTACTGCGTAAGAGTAGATATAATAATGATGAAGAAAAGACTGAAAAATTAAAAGGTAGTATGCTTAAAACGTTAGATTATATTTGAATATGAAAGAAACTTCTTGCTTCAAGCAACCTAACATATCTATGTGAACATTTGTAAAATATTTTAAAGCTGTCAATAACCCAAATGATCGATTTTTTTGCACCCGTTGAAGATGTTCTACATTTTATAGTTGAGTATGAAAGGGATGAACTCAAGATAATAGGTTAAAATCATGGGCTGAAAAGTATATGGTTTATATTGAATTCGGGCTTATTTGAGTTCAGTTGACAATATTTTTAGCTCACCTGAGCAATGCTCAGGGTGAGCTATTGTGATCGCCCTGTGTCCGTCGTCCGTCGTCGTGCGTCCTGCGTCGTGCGTCGTCAA